CATAATATATTTATATATATTCTGTTGTTATTTTATTTTCTGAAAAATTTTTATTGTTAATGATTTTTATTCGTAACTTTTATTAATTCGTGACTTTTATTTTAGAATTTTTCTCTCTGTGACTTTTTATGTTTTTCCGTTGAAGTTTGGTTAAGTGACAAATCTCACTAATGTTATGTTGGCAGCACACAAAGATGAAAAAGAAATAAATCATCGAACGAGTTATATTTTGAACTAAGTTTTTTTTCTCTAAACTTTTTTTTCTTTTTTAAATCATGCAACAAAAAATTGCTAAAAATTTTCCACTTCCAAATTTTTTTTGTGACAATTTGTGAAGATAATATTTTCTACAAAATTACAATAGAATGTGTGAACATGAGCAACATTTGTGAATCATTGTTTGCACAATACTAATACGAGAATATAATTTTATTCTCTGAAAACATGAAAATAAAAAACTATATATTTAACAGATTGTTGCTAAACAAAGTCAAAGACACTTAATTACTGCTTAAAACTATCAGTTCATTTTTTTCATTAAAAAACTTTTTCATCTTGGTTTTCTTATTAAAACTGTGTAAAATATTTTTAAAAATTATAATTTTAAAATTTTTCAGAAACTATTTGAGCTTTAAACCGATTGTGGGTCGTTTTGTAATTGTCCGATTCAAGTTGAGCTTTGAACAATGTTTTTTTTATTATTATTATTTCGTCGGGAGCGAAAAGCAATATTTTAAATAGCATATCTATGGGTCATTCTGATACGGTGCACCGCAAAACAGTTTAAGAATACATAAAAGTTTTCTGTTAACTCTAAAATTATTTGCATTTTTTCCAATAATTTTATTGAATATGTAATTAATAGAAAAATATACTATGGTAAACAAAAAAATTACAGCAAAAATAAATTAATTAATATTTAAATTTTAAACCAGTTTCAACTGCCACTAAAGTTTTATGACGTAGTTCAATAATAGTAATTCAGGCCACCTTACAGCATCTGGTTTCATGATTTTGTCTATGTATGGTATCTTTAGAAACTTTATGGCCCATTTAATCTTTGATTCCATTTATTGAAGGATTTTGGTACAAAGCTGATTTTTAATTTTTATAATTTCTCTAAAAGTCTTCTTTCATCACCATTATCATGGCTTATAGCTCTTACCGTGGAACTTAACTCAGCAAATATCTAGCTTTGAGTAATTTACTTAAGCTAAGATTTCTGAAATAGACATCTTCACTAATCTTTCCAAAAATTTCTTCATACGTGGACTGCTTTCATTGTGAATAAAATTTAAAAGTAACACCCAGGATTCATAATGAAAGCTGAAAAGTTTACAGCTTTCTTCGTCGTTACTTGTTAAATATCTGAATTTATTTTCTGTTTTGTCTAAAATTTTGGAAAAGGGACATTTTAATTTTTTTATTTTTCTGTTTCAAGTTTTTAACTATTTTAATATAAATATCGTCGTAAGAATATAATTGATGTCTTTTTATATGTATGCTATTTAATTTTATATCTAATAAAAAGTTAGCCTCAAAGTTTTTATTTTCCAAAATTGATGATTCACATAACTTAAAGGGTTGGGAAACGCTGTTTTAAAATTTCTATTTTAATATTTAATGTTAACAGTTCGATATAAAGTATTCATTTTTTAATTGTTTTGAGTCCTTCTCGAAAGTATATTTTCGTATTATCCAGTTAGTTTGCTAAATTATTTAAAAATTGAATTTTTTGTGGGATTGTTAATATTATGACAAAGCTACACTACATAGCTATTTTAATTTATTAACGTGAATTTTAAAAACCATTCTTTCATTTCATCATTTTTGTTTTTAATTTACTTACGTCAGACAGCTGTATCTGATTTAAATAAAGATTTTTCTGTAATTTTTTTTTATTTATTTATTTATTTATTTATTTATTTATTTATTTATTTATTTTTATATTTGACTTCAACTATTCCATACGATGGAACAAAAATGAATAATAAAAAGACATAATATATTTTTAAATTTCAGCAGAGAAAAAAAAAGCAATAATGAAAATTACTGCTCACGTTCTCATAACAGATATTCAGACATATTATGAGTGAAGAAAAGTTTATTATTTAATAACCATGAAAGCTTACCCACGGCAAATGGACATATATCAGCAGGCAATTGACTTAAAGCATATAAACAGGCTGGACAAGTTGGTGGTGGAGCAGGGCACGTAGGCGGAGGTGGAGGTTGGACATATGGAATAGGAGGTGGAGGAGCTACATACGGTGCAACTGGTGGATGTATATATGGTTTAGGTGGAGGTACATATGGCTTAGGTGGAGGTATATATGGCTTAGGTGGAGCTATATATGTCTGAGGCGGAGGTGGTGGTGGTACATAAGGTGGCGCTGGTGGCACATAAGGTGGTGGTGCTGGTGGAACATATGGTTTGGGAGGAGGTGGCGGTGGAGGAGGTGGTGGTGGTACATAAGGTGGCGCTGGAGGCACATAAGGTGGTGGTGCTGGTGGAACATATGGTTTGGGTGGAGGTGGCGGTGGAGGAGGTGGTGGTGGTACATAAGGTGGTGCTGGAGGTACATAAGGTGGTGGTGCTGGTGGAACATATGGTTTGGGAGGAGGTGGTGGTGCTACATAAGGTAGCGCTGGAGGAACATAAGGTGGTGGTGCTGCTGGAACGTATGGCTTGGGAGGAGGTGGCGGTGCATATGGGGGAGGAGGACCATAAGATGCTAAGGGTAGTACATATATGTATGGAGGATATTGTCTTCTTTGACGGTCTTTTCCGATTAAGTTATCTGATACAGCAGACGTTCCATTAATGAAATCTAAATCTATGATTTCTGTAGTTTTAGGAGTTGCTAAAAAAAATTAAAATCTCTTTCTCAATTCATTCATAATTTAGGAACTTTCAACAAGGTTTAAAAACTGAATTTAATAAAGTTATAGATAGTTTGTTTGACATGTTTTACTGATTCCAATAGCATGTGACTTTGCAATGACGTAAAACAACGCAGCAGGGTGTGAATAAAAAATAAAATCGCCATCAAAATTACATTTTACCCATAAAAAACCTAGAAATGAGACCTAACGACCAAACTAAGTTTTTCTACGAAATATTGGAATCGGGTTTGACAGATTTTTATAATTTATGTAACTTTATCTGATATCTAAAGCATTTGATTCAATTATTTCGAAATTTCATGATGATGTGAATAGTTTAGAAATTTCTTTATTAAGTAAAAACTAAATTTAAACTTAATAGTAATACTTCAGTTCTAAAAAATATTCCATAAATATAATAATTAGTAGATTAATAACACAAAACTTCGGAATTAATAATCCTTATTTCTTATTAACAATGCTTTAATCTCAGAATATCATTTTAAAAACTGAAATCAAAGAAAAATTAACTAATAACGTTACTTAGCCCGGTTCTTCCACTATGTTCTTCAATCAGAGAAGTTATTTTCTCACAAACTGATAGATTGTTTTCTATTTTAATGGATACCTAAGGGGCCGTTCAAAAAGTACGTACAGAAAAATGGAGAAATTTTAACCCCCCCCCCCCCCCCTTTGAGTACGTACATTTTATTTGTCTACCCCCCTTTTTCATAAAAATTAAAATAATTATGTTTTAAATGAAATTAAATATTTATTATGTATAATGTTACATACATATTATTGTTACATATGTATAATACATGTGTAGGAAAAAGTTAAATTTAAATTTGGTGTATGCTTATAATGTACGTACTTTGTATAATACCCCCTCTCCTCATCGTACAAAACCGTATAAAATAGCAAATCCCCTCCCCTTCGGGATGTACCCACTTTTTGAACGGCCCCTAAGATCATCATGAATGAATCTTTTATTTATTCATCTTGTCATCAGAATTGATTCTGACAATTAGAATTTGCAAATTATGAATTTTAAATTATCCACACTTTCTATAGGAACAACAAATTTATTTAACAAATTGTAGGTGTAAAAAGTGTGAACGATTTGAAACTAGTTACTCAAATGTCACTTGCCAACCAAGTTATTTATTTATAAACAATGCTCTAAATAAGGAAGAATGACCCTGAATAATTTTTATTCTAGTGGTCGGATTTTCACGAACTAAGTGCCGATCATAATAATTCAAATGGTCGAACTAAAATATGCTAAGTAGTTAGTGAAAACTATCATTCTGCTACAAAATCAGACATAAAAACGTTCTTTCTCTGAATAAACATGCTTTTTTTAAACGGCTTTGATTTTTGATTAAATTGGGGGCAACCTTTGTTATTTTATTATTATTATATCATTATTATTACTTTATTATTATCAGTTTATTATTATTATTTAGTATTTTGTTGATAATTGTTTAAAATCTTTAGAAATGAAATAATTAAAGATTCGCAATTTTTACATTTTAAACTATTCGACTGCAAATGACAAAATATGAAATTAAAACAAAATCGGTCGAATAGTGCTTGAGAAATGGAACTTTTAAAATACGAATTTTGTAAGAAATGCTAACTCAATCTAATGTTAATTAGCAGAACTAACTATTCAACCGTTTCACTCAAATTTTGTATTTAATCGTTTAAAACTGTGTAAAAATCTGTACTCCTTTTTCCCCATATTAAATAAAATAATAAAAATTTATAAAAACAAGCATTTATGAAAAATTTTTGAATTTGACGGGTTACAAGAAGAAGAAAAATTTCGTATGGATAATTTATTTATAACCGGAGCAGCCGACCCAATTTTTAGTTTACAACTACCAATATTCAACTCCGTAGCCTTATAATTTTTGACCCAATCCAGAAGACAAGAGAACTACTGGATTAATGATTGGAAGAAATTTCAGTTCGCCTCGGACTTTTTGATGAAATTAATCCGCATTTGCGCAATTGCAGGAAAACGACGAAAACCTCTCACTGCTAGCCTGACGTCTGGGGGACTTTCCGTCTACCCTTGAGGATATTTCGTACGTCAGCACTGTGGCCGGTGGGAACCGGGTGCGGAGTTCTTATAGACCTACCATTGTCTGGTTTCGAACCCGTCACTTCAGTGAAATGCGTGTGCTTTATTCGAGCCCCCACAGCCCTATCATGGATATTTCAAAAATAATTCATTAATTTTTATTTTTTTGATAAAAAAATATGTAAGAGCCACTTTTAAACTCAGGGCAGCGTTGGAGAAATTAAGTAGAATAACAATCGGTACCTAATTTTTTAAAAAAAGCTGTGACATTTTTTTAGAATACACTGAGCATCATTTTCATGATTAACATAAATAGCACAGCTTAATGATCAGCAAAACTTTAACAGTTATGAATTAATTGTTATCCCAACAGTTATAAATAGAGCCCCTGAATTAGACAGGCTGACTTATCATTCATTTTGGGAGTAAAAAGAGCTAACATAAGCACATAACATAACTAATACTAACATAACGTTAACTTGCGAACTTGTTTGCTCCAATATTGCTTGATAGGTCAGCTCCGATAGTATAGGAGCCTTGGATATAAAAATAGACTATTATTACCAAAATATGACGTTAGATACTTTGAAGTACAACCTTAACTAACATTGTTCAAATGTATGGAATTTCAGCACTTATGTAGAAAACTCAATTTTTTTGAACTACCTAAAATTATGCTAAAAATGGGCATTCTCTCTTTTAAATTTATGAAGCAAAATTTGATGTGAAAAAATACGAGTTCTTACCATTATCATTTTTTGTTGTAATACTTATTTCAGAAGTCGTAGACTCCATAGTACTACTATCTATAGAAATTTCGTTATCCTTGATCTTTGCATCTTTGATGTCGTCATCAAGCACTTTCGTCGATAATCTGAAAAATTTATTGTAAGTTGATATCAACAGAGTGAAATTACTCAGTGCATTACGTATTTCTCAAATAAAAAAAAATTGAGATCTGAAGATCTCGTGATTCGATTAAAGAACTAACGGTTTCCGCTTTGCAAATAATTTCGTTTGCAGAATTCACACTTCTTTTTTTATTCTTGCGGGATTAGGCAAATGTGAAAGTTACAAATCTAGGAATTTTGTTTGCAAAACTGACTGTTTTGTAAGAGAGTGTTTTGACAGATGTGAACTTTAGAAATCTTAGAAAGTTATTGCAAGTTATTTTAAACACTCTTCACGCCTATTTAGATAGAGAATTTAAACCTAATATTTAAATAGTCTCATAATAAGCTTAATCTCATTATATTCTTTTTGGCGGTAAATCCTGGATGCATCAATGGCGATGCAATTTAACCCCAGTGTGGAACTGTAAAGGGTACTTTTTATTTTTTGTTTGACTAATATCCGTTTGAAACTTCTAAAAATTCAAGCTTATAATTCTTTCTCCGCTATCTCCCCAAAAATCATCTATTACAATTGAAAGTGTATGAAAAACCTACTGAATTACTCAAAATTTGTAAGCAATATCAAAAATGCAGTACTGTAAGTAAAATCTACAACACTACGTAACGGTTTTACTTCGAAACAATGCAAGGCAGGCCACACACTGAGGGAGCGAGCGATAAGTAAGAGGCACACGAGAGGCATATTATCATACTCTTGTATTAGCAAGCGCACATCACCTTTGCTCATCCTAATGCAAAAGTATAGTAATTAGTTGCCTGTATGCGTCTTTCCTACCACTTGCTTCCTCCGTGAGTGGCCTGCCTAATTCGCTGATATGTGCTCTTTTCTGGAGTTCAAAGGTACATTGGAGCAACGCAAAAAAAGGTAAACAATCCATTATCATCTATTCCCTATTCTGATTACATCGAAGCAAACTTGGCGCATGGGCAGAAGCATAAAAGACCTTTGGTTATGAAAATATCCAACTATAAGCAATCAGTTATCCTAATCAGAATCCAACAGTAGAGCTTCATTTTCCTCTTTGACTAACTGGTGGGTAAAAATCTCCCCAACTTACGATAGTTAAAAGAATAAACTATAATTTTCTAATATTTTATGAAGAATTTATGAAAAGTTGAAAACAATTGCTATTTTTTAATAACAAAGGATACTGTAAAGCAAGATATCGTACGTAGTGTATCTGATTTAAAAATAAAAAAATTATATAAGATGCCAAAAAAAAACTTACCCTTGTGTGCCACTAAAAAGGCACAAGCAGGCCAAGAGGCAAGATATAAATTTAAGCCTCATTTTCCTGTCTTCTAAAATTAGAAAGCCATCTGAAATAAAATAAGTTTGCCCAAAAGTTGGGCCAGATGAAACGCGATTGTCGCTCTAATAAATGACGGAATAACTTCCTAGTTCCTTATATAACGTACAAACTCCTGAATATTAATCGTTTACAAAATATAAACCTGATTTTACGAATAAATTCGCATCATCAGCTATTTCTTTTAGAACCAGCCTTGTTTGTAAACAATAAACACGGGAAGAGTTTTGTAAATGCTTCACATGTCGAAAGTAAGTTTATTGTTTTTCCCTCGATGTGCATTTTTTTCAACTCTATTTTGTTACATCTTGTCATTTTTTAAGCTTTTGTTTATAATATTCAAAACATCAGACGTCAGAAATAAGCTGATAGGGACCTCTAATTCATTGAATGCCAGACAAACAATAATAAGATGAAACATAAGGAAATCTTTTTCCAGGAACTGTTAAGAAACAATAACTTTCCACGAAATATTGAAATTTCGAGTGAATTTCAAATTTTAAACGAATTTATGTATGTTGGCTTTCATTCTAAAAGAATTTTAGCATATCTTCCTAGTTTTTAAACAGAATAGAAAATTTAAAAAAAAATTCTTCGTGCAGTTTTTTGTAACTCTAAAGTGCTTTTAATGCAAAAATAATTTTAAAATGAATGTTTTTTAATTTACAGCAAAGTAACTTCAATTCAATACTAATTTGGTATTCATTATATTATTTTAAATATAAATATAAATTAGTTCCTGTTTGACGGTTTGAATTTTAGAAAAATGGCTAACTATTTGGAAACATTCTCATTTCCTTCAGTGTTGGCTTTCAATTGAGATGACCAGAATTCCGAGCACACAAGAAAAGTGGTATCATAATTTCTAAAAGAAATTTGAAAACTCACCGTTTTACTTTTTTAATTATTTAAAGAAAAAGTATTTCCGTTAAAAAAACTCTGACAGGAAATTTTTTGTTCTCGAAATATTAAATTAGAAGGATAAAACTTTGAGTTTTCGAATATCATTTTAAAAATTTTAGAATCAGCTTCTTAGATTTCCGGGCTTGTATCAAATACAATCAAAGCCAATTTGTTTGACAAAACTTAACAAAACACTTAATTGTTAAAATGTTTACCAACTAAGACAATCAAAAATATTAAGAGTCAAAATATAAATAAATATTTTATTTTCGTCAAAATACATGTGTACGAAAACTGTAAGTGAAACTGTGAATGTGAAACTGTAAAACTTGCATTTTTAGCATTTTTCAGAAATATTAATTTCCCTTTACCTAGAACTGACACCTATAAAAAAATTCAGCTCTGATGAATCTTGTATTTGACAAACCTTATAATTGAATATTATTTCAATTTTTTGTGATAAAATTGATTTAATAAAATGCAGAAATAAATTCATAACTGTACTTAAGGCTTCCAGCCAAAAAAGTGATTAGAAGCCAATAAGTTTTTGGATGACAGAAAAATTATTGACAAACTTCTACCATGTACCATTTTTTTCACAAATTTCGTATCCTTTATGTTGTACTCTAAAAAAATTTACAAATAGTTAATGCTATAAATTTCCACTACAAATCAATACTGTGCATACTTTTGATTTTTTTTTCTTTTTTTAGTTTTGATAGAGTTTAGTCAAAAATGGCTATTATTCGAAAGAATTAACTAAAATAGTCCTACCTAGGTAAATAAGGTATTTTTTCTAATATAATTTTACTATGCTGAATAGAATAAAAACAACCCCTTGTTGATCGGACTATAAATTTAAAAGCTATTAATGTTTCATGTATAAGAAGTCAATTTTGTATTTATTCATACTTCTTGTTGAAACAAAGACATTTTTGCGTACTTGAGATAGTCATTTGGATACTCGAGGTATGTTTCTTCTGTATTTTATTATGTAGAGTCCAATAAAATCAAAATTAAGTTGATATAGCGAAGAGATTAAAAGAAAATTAGAGTTATGTATAAAAATCATAGTTTTCACTTTATTCTCGGCTTTAAATAAGACCCTTATAGCCTCTAAACTATTAGGTCCGTTTTAGTTTTAATTCTTATATTATTACATTTATCATAAAAAAACAATACCTCACTTGTCTGTAGCAATGTCAGTCGTAAAAATAGTACCAATGAGTAATAGCTAAATGGTTTGATAAGTTTATAACTTCTATAACTTATAAATAATAGCGAAAATAGTTTAGTGTAGAAAAACTTCTATAAAATTTAAACTATTAGCGGCATCAACCTTGATTTTGTCTCATTAGATTCGATGTGAAGCAATGTATCACTCATAATAATGATTTAGTTTCTCCATCACTTCAGAAAATATGAATTTTTCTCCATATATGTAAACCCATGACTGAATAATTCATATGTAAATAAAAAAAAAAGGATTCCGTAATCGAAATCAGCTCAACTAACAATGTAAGAATCGCTCATTACATTACAATTACTTTTTTATAAATCATATTTTGCATGCTTACGTTATTTAAAAGTATGATTTATTGCATTTTAGTTTATGATAAAATTTTGTTTGAAATGCACAAATAATGACGCGTAAAAAGTACTGCTGCCTCTTATTTATCATCTGTTTCGCCTTCATTTTTAAAACGGATAACCTTGAAATAAATAAATTGCTTAATTTTTTCTAAAAAAAAGTTACAGCGGAACAGAAAACTCTTTGATAAAAATTCGAACTTCAAACTTTAATAATCTATGACGAATGAGTCAGTTTTGAAGTTCATTTAAACTTTCTCAAATCTGATAATTTAACTTCAAAAAAAATAAAAAAATAAAAACATCTCGTCAACAAAAATTTTACTGTTACTTTTTTTTGAACTTTACTTTTTTTATAAGTTAGAAGAAAAAAACAATTTTCAATTTGGCAAGGAAAGATTTAATCAAATAAATAAATATTAATTCTCATGTTAGAGAATTTATACAAATACATTTCTATCACGCAAAAATTTTATTTTAAGAAAAGATAATCTATCTTAAAAGTAAACATATTTTATTCTTAAATTAGGTATGCGTATTGATAAGCCTGGTGTGATCTACAATGCATAATAACTTAAAGTATTTGTTTACTTTGTTGAAAAAAAAGTGCCACAAACTTCTCGTAGGATTTTGAATTTCACAATATTTGTGCAATCAAATATTGCCAATTAAAAAAAAATGACAGCTGATCGTTCAGGGACATTTATTTAAATTAGGGTATTGCATGAAAAAAATTCATTGTTGAGTCATTTAATGAAATTTCTTGTTTTAATTATCAGAATTGAACACCCAGATTATGAGATTTGAACCAGAAAATCCTTCACTCTGTTTCCTAACTTAAATTATTACACTCCGATTAACTAAATTAATGAGCAACTCTTGATGGTCAAAATTAATAGTCAAGCAATTTATTTTACTTATTCCTCTCGTTAGGCCGTAACTAACATATTAAAACAGTACCTATAGTATTTACTTTAGAAACTATATAACTACATTTGATACCTGTTTAAACAGCACCAATTACCATAATGCCCGTAGTACCTATTAATGAAATTAATTTCACATCATTAGGGTCAATATTAATAAGACAAGTTTGTTGCGTTTCCCCTAAATGATGAAGTACCTTTTCTCCATTAACTTTGTTTTGTGTTTTTTTGCAAACTTATTTTTTTAATCTTAATCACCATTTATTTTGAAGTTATGTAGAAATACTTTTTAAGACTATAAACAAAATAAATACATGGCTTTAGATAACTATAGAAATGTTAATTCAATGACGTTGATCATTGAGCTTACCTGTCATAACGAATAAAAAATAATTAAATATTAAAGAATGTATTAAAATTTCTTTTTTGATCAACTATAGCTAGCTGTACGTTAAAGAACAGTGCTAATATTTTTCCTTCAAATATTTGGAAGAAAAAAACAGAGTCGTTTATAGGATAATTTTATAATGACTTATGTTGTACCAGTGAGAAAAATTGATTTCTCAAACAACTCTTTCGTGCAGGCTAAGCAAAAGTTTTGAGCGATTTTTGGAGCTTGGCCAAAATTGAAACTTTCACTCACTGTCCAAATTTCAGGAAGAATTTTTCGAATTACAAAATGGTTTTGGAGTTGTAAAAGAAACAGACACATAGTCCTAACTCTTCCTTTCTTATTATAAATGCTTATTTCAGGCATTAAAATCATGAATTTTTATCAATCTGATCTTTATGTGTTGGCATAAGTTTTTGAGTTTTATCTTTTTCAATAGCTTTCAAAGCTTTTACTCAAAGATGAATAGGAATCATATCTGAACTGCAATCACCGAACTAGAGATGTTGTTGTTTCTAATGCCACTTGCCAATACCAGTAAGCCGGCTTGGTGAAACCAAGTGAATTAATTTTTTATGGTAGAGGATGCGTTTCTTGTTTTTTAGTGGCCCAATCTATGGACAATAATACGATTTCAGCAGCACACGGGTCACTGACCGTTTATTGGGCAGACCCAAACCCATTCATACATCCATTAGTTCACAGATCCTAATTTCGGACTTTGTGACCCTTCAGATTTAACGTGCACCAGTCACCATTTACTATACTATCGGCCAGAGTGGAACAAACTCACGACCCCTTGGACGTGAGCCCAACCAACCAGGCTATTCCGGGCCACTAGAGTTGAATTGCAAAATAAGCAAAATGTTTTACTTTATGCAGAAAAAAAAAATCCGATATTTGAAACTGATTTGAATTATATTCTCATTTTAAATACTGAAATTATTTTTTATCTATCTGATTTTAAAGTTTTAACACAAATTTTTAAGTTTTAGCATTTTTACACGCAATAGTTTACTAAATCTACTCACAGCTGAATTGCAACCACCAAAATATAGATGCTGAATTGCAAAATGTGCAAAGTTTTAGACTTGAAATAGAAAATTTATTCGGCTGAAAAAATTTAATTAAATATAAAAGTAATTTCAATCATATTTTATTTACTGATATGCGAAAAAAATTATAAATTCAAATGATGAATTTATAATTTTGTGAATCTGATCTTCAATTATTAGATTAAATCATAGAGTTTGAGCTTTAAACTTTGAGTATTCTTCTGAATCTATTCAAAAAATTTCGAACTTTCGGAGAGGAGTTTCGCTGAGACTTCAAAAATAGAACTCTTAAAAAAAAATTGTATTTTT